CTGCCTAGGAGACCGTGGCCAAGTTTACATTCCCTCTCTGGGTCTCAGTTTCCTGCTCTGTAAAATGAAGGAGACTGAACTAGATGACCTTCCAGACCTCTATCTAGGACCCTAACAATAGAAAAGCTTTAGGAAGCCCCTGCCCAAGATCACATAGCTAGTTCGGAGCAAAGAATTAAGAGGGTGGGCTCAGATTCTTACAATCTAGCCACTGCTCAGATTCTTATAATCTAGCCAATAGCTCACTAATGTTCAGACTCCTTAAGAATCTGGCCAATATGATGGATGTTCTAATAAATCTTGTCTTTAGCTAAAAAAAAAAAAAAAAAAGAATTAAGAGGGTGCTGGTGTCCTATCTCACAGTTTCGTACTCTATCCACTTGCTTGGGAATCAGAAGTAAACACTGTAGGTATGGATACCATTTACACAAGGGTGGACCCAAGTGAGTACAGCCTAATGGTCCCCAAAGTCTTCTGCCCTATGGCTGTGTTTCTGTCTCAATTACAGAGGAGTTCAACAGGAAGAGAGAGAGCTACTTCAGGGTTGGGACCCTAAACATAATCCCTTGAAAGTAATGGTTCTTACAGTAAGGAATGTGGATGCCAAGAACATGAGTTGTGAGCTGATGATTTCAAACAAAATCACATCCTGCTGGGGAATCCTGACAGCTGTCCAGCCAGAGCCACACAGGCTGCTGAAGTCATAAAGAGGCGTGCATCCTGTTGGCAGGAGTGCCAATATGCCCTCACAAATACCTGCCTCTCACTAGCCAAACTGGCTTTGCCATGCACCTTCCTCACACCTTCTCAGGCACTGCCCTGCTCCTGATCCCCCCCCAAAGCTCCGGGGCCTGCTTGGCACCCCAAAGGACCTCCCCCACTGAGCCCTTCCCCCCTTCTCCAGACCAAGTTCCTTTTCTGCTGCATCTTAGAGTTTTGCCACTATTTGTATACCTTTCTCCTCTCACCCCCCATGAGTTTGATAAGGATAATGAGTTTGAGGTGTTGATGAGGGCCAGTATCAAAAGTTACCAAATTAAATCCCAGCACCACATTCCCTAAGAAGAATTCAGGCAATAACAGCAAACCTTTAATTGCTGGGAAACTTTCATGCAAGGCAGAAGACTAAATTTTACTTAGTAGATAACAGGGAGCTACAGATATTTTCTGAAGGAAAGAGTGACATGCCTAGATTTAAGAAAGATTTTCCTGGTAAAAACTGTGAAACACGCATGAAAGGAGAAAAAAGCAAAGGAGGGAAGATTTGAAAAACAAGCTTCTGAAATAACACACATGGGTGGTAACATGGGTCTACTTGGGATTGGTTGCAATGGGAATAAAAAGAAGAGAGAGTCAAAAAACATTTAAGAAATGTTTCCATCACCTCCACAGCTTCCAGCTCAGACTTCTCTCCTGAGATGTGTTGTTGTTCAGTCATGTCTGACCCTTTGTGTTTTCTTGGCACAGATACTGGAGCGGTTTGCCATTTCCTTCTCATTCTACAGATGAGAACTGAGGCAAACAGGGTAAAGTGACTTGCCCATGGTCACACAGTCAGTAAGTGTCTGAGGCCAGATATGAACTCATGAAGATGAGTCTTCCTGATTCCAAAATCAGTGCTCTATCCACTGAGGCATCTAGCAGCCTCTCTGTCCATGCCTGCATTTCTAGACTAGCACCTCAAGTTCAACACATTCAAATCCACACTCACTGTCCTTTCCCCAAAATATAACCTGCCTCTTAGCTTCCTTATTTCTTGTGAATGCTCCCAGTTGTGCCAGCTCCAAAAGTTGGGGGATCCTTCTCTTTAACACACTCAGCATTATCATTCTCATTCCCTGCCTTTTCACTGCAACTAACATCACCTTTGGTCAGGCACTCACAAGCCTCTCTCCCTCAAACCTGATCTACTTACTACCATTGCCTATATAACCGGTTCCCTGGCCTCGGCCCACTCTAATCTATCCTACAGAGAGCTACCAGATCAAATCTTCCTCATTCATAGCTCTGATCCAGTCACTCCCTTGCTCAAAAACCTTTCACAGATGTCCATTATCTCTACAATTCAAAATCCTTAGACTGGCAATCAAGTCCTTTTACAACCTGGCCCCAACCTACCTCATCAGATGTAGCATCTTATTCTTCCCTTCAGATTACTCTCTAATCCCTTAACATGTCCTGTGCTTTTCTGTCTCTGAACCTTGGTTAATAACAACGACTAACATTTATATAGCCCTTACTATGTGCCAGGCAATGTGCCAAGCACTTTATAAATATTATTTCATTTGATCCTGGGAGGTAGGTGCTATTATTTTCCCCACTTTACAGACAAGGAAACTGAGGCAAATAGAGGTTACGTGACTTGTCCAGGGCCATACAGTTAGTAATGTTCTGAGGCTGGATTTGAACTCAGGTCTTCCTGAATCCAGGCCTAATGCTCTATCCACTGCACCATCTAGCTGCTTTGTTCCAAACGCCAGCTCAACAGCATCTCTTCCATGAAGTCTTCCCCAATCTGTATGTTCAGCATCCTATCTTCCCCGTTTTTTTTCCCAGCAACACCATTTTTTCAGTCACCCAGGTTCTTAACTGAAGCGTCATCCTCAACTCTTCACTCTCCCTCACTCCTCACCCCATAGCCAAATAATTTCTAAGTCTTGTGGGTTCCACCTTCTCAACATCTGCTGCATCACACCTTCCTTACTCATACTACAACCTTCCTAGTCCTGGCCCTTCTCATCTCTCACCTAGATTATTCCAACAGCCTCCACCGGTCTACCTACATGCAATATCTCCTAGCCATCCTACCGAGAGCTGCAAGCTTGATATTCCTAAATTACAGGATTGGCCACATCACTCCTCTGCTCAAGAGCCTTCAATGGTTCTCCCTTACCTCCAGGATACAATGCAAACTCCTCAGCTGGGCATTTAAAGCCCATCACAATCTGGATCCAGCCTATCCTTGCAGGAAGATTAAATAGAACTCTCCCTCATACACTCTCTCTAATCCAACCAAACTGGTGTACTTGTTCTTCCTCACACATATTTCCACTTTCCATCTCCAGTCTTTGGCACAAATTTATGCTCCCTTCCACATCTCTGCTTCTTGAAACCCTTATCTGCCTTCCAGGCTTACTCAAAAATCACCTCCTTCTAGTGGTTTTCACCAATTTCCCCAGTTATTAACACTACCCAATCACTAAGTATTTATTCTGTAAATAGCCTGCATTTACTCACCCATGATGGGCAGCTAGGTGGCAAAGAGGATAGAGCTCCAGGCCTGAAGTCAGAAAGACCTGAGTTCAAATTTGCCCTCAGACACTAGCTGAGCAAGTCACTTAACCCTGTTTGCCTCAGTTTCTTCATCTGTAAAATGAGCTGGAGAAGGAAATGGCAATCCAGTACCTCTGCCAAGAAACCCCAAATGGGGTCATGAGAGGATCTTAACAAGTGTCATCTGTGAACAGGTATTCTCCTACTAAAATGACAACTCTTTTAGGGCAGGGATTCTCACTTGTGTATTTGTATTCCCAGCCTCCCTCTTCCCCATCCCCTCCACCCCAACCACGTTCCTGAAACACAGCAGGCACTTAATAAATGTTTCTTAAGTGTTTTAGTATGGAAGGGACCAGCTTCTGAAATCTCCTAGCACATTTCTTGTGCACTTATTTTATTCTATTTTGTATTATAGTTATTTGGGTTGTTATGCCAGTTATCTGAGCATGAGTTCTTTGTCTGCTCTACCGGGGAACTAGCTGTTGAGCTTCTGGAGGGCAGCTTCCCCAAAACATGGTATGTCTCTTTGAGTCCAGATCATTTTTCTGAGCTTATGTCTCCACTCAATAAATTCTTCTTGAATTGAACTGAATTGCCACAGAAGACTTTCTAAAAATCCTCTTGGGCAATCACTTCCATCTCTTTGTGACTCAACTTCCTAATCTCAACATCTAAATGAAGGGATTGGATTAAGCCATCTTAAATCCCTTCCGACTTCAAATCTGATCCCACTGCTACGCTATTACCATTGACGTCTGAAAATTTAAGAGCAATAAAACCGAGAGGGAGAAGGAGCAATGAATAATTCCATACTTGCAATCGAAATCTGGCAGGACATGCTGTATTCGCACTTCTAGTACCTCAGGGCCCTTCCATTTTTCTAAAGGAATAAGCAAAGAAAAAGGGCAGAGCAAGAAAAAAACAAAGGTGGTTGAGGTTTCTGGTTTAGACACCTTCACCCAATACAGAACTATTGGAAGAAGGAGGAGAAGGAAGATCAGAGACACAGACAAAAAGAAGCAAACACAGATAAGACTTTTAAAGAATCCTCCTTCCAAGAGATCATGAAGTTATTTACACTGTGAAAAAATGCCCTGTCTGTAACATACAACAAGGTGGTGGATAGAGTCACAAACTGCCTCTTGATGTTCCTGTCTCCATTCAAAAAGGAAAAGACATGAAACTTAGTCTAAACTGCCGAGGCCCCATGAAAGCCAAGCTGATGCTGGCTTCGAATGGGGGCCACACATTCATACCAAGCCGTGTGGGTGGAGGAGCTAAAGGGGAAGGTTCCTCACTTCTGCCGGAGGGGGGGAACCCTGAGTGAGTAGAAAGAAGACACTCCTTTGGGCTGCCAGAAGAAAAAACGCAAAGCAATTTTTCACTCCAGTGCACATCAGTTCGGCGCTTCTCTTCGCCCCATCCCTGGGCCCCACTTTCTGCTTGGCTGCCGGGTTCCGATGCACCCCGACCCGCCGTAGCTGGTTCCAAACGAACAATTCTGCGTACGTGTCCGCCCGCCCCTGCCCCGCGTGGGTTCCCCCAGCTTCCACCTTCCAGCGTTACGCTGCCTCTCCAGGGCACTCGCTGGCAAAGCAGAGGAGCCCCGTGCAAGGACTCTGTGCAAACAGCACTAAGGAGTCACAGAGCCGCCGGACAAAGCCCAGGTTGTCTCCACGCCCCTCTCCCCTCCACCGGGACCACAGGCGTTCCCCAGAGCTTACTTTTGGTGGCAGCAATGAGGTTTTTCCCGTCCTTGAGTAACTCTTTGATGAACTTATTGGTTTTCTCCAGCTCCGCTTCATGGGCACGAATCCTCTCCCGGAACCACGGGCTGTCTAGGTAGCAGTCGCTGAACTCCAAGGGTTGCAACCCCATGGCTACAAAAGCTTGCCCCGGCACTCGGGTTGACTTGGCGCGGCCGCCTTTCCCCGGGAAAGCTCACTAACTCGCCCAGAGGTCAGCGCTTGGAGACCGCCTCGCCCTACTCCCCTCGTGGGGCTTAGGCTGACCAAGATTTGCAGCCTCCGAGGCCGCGGCAAGGTATGTGCAGCTGAGCAAGAGAGGAAGGACCATAGGCAGAGGACAGCCGCGTCCGTCGGCGCTTGGCTCCGCGCACCTGGCCCCAGACGAGCGGGCGAGCGCACTGCTAGCACCCTACTCTGCGCTGCGCGCCCAGCCAGGGCATCTCCCGCGGAAGACTCCGTCACCAAATCAAGAAAGAAAAACGGTGGAAAAGAAGGGAGGGAGGGAAATACACTGGCCAGATCCCGTCAGCCTCCGCCAGAACATCCAACCCTCTTAGCTCCACCTCACCCCTCAGACACCTCCTATTTTCAAGCACCAGGGCTCCGCCCCCCTCTATAGAGCTCTGCGCTCCTGGCGTCCTTCTCCCCGGGGCTCTGCTCACTCTCTCTCCGCCCTCCTCCAGCTGCCGAAGTCTTCTCCCTTTGGAGCCTGCTGTCAGCTCCTCCCCTTCCTTCCGATCCTTCCTCTTCATTCCTTTCCTAGTACAAACTGAGACCCCTCCGCCCTACTCCTCCCCTCCTGGCGAGGTACCCGCCTCCCTCCCCCCAGTCCTGTCTTCTCAGTCTGTTCCCTTTATGGTGCCTCACCCAGACTGTTCCCCAGATAAAGGGAATTGGGAAAGAGGAAAGATGAGTCTGATAGCAGTAACTGATCCCTGGCAAATGCTGTGCAGAGCTTGGAAGCAGCCTAACATGCGAAAGGCAAACACTGCTGGATTCATCTTGGGGCTGAACGTGGACGCCTTTCTCTTTTTTATTATATTATTATTATTATTTACATTTTAAACCATTTATTAAGTTGCATTTCTTTCTTAAATATCCATTTTATGGACTGCAAGCTCTTCAAGGGCAGGGACCTGTACTCACAGTTTTGTTTTGGGTTTTTTGTGACTTATGATCCTAAAATTTGGAACTGAAAGGAACCTTAGAGATCACATGGAATCTTTTCATTCTACTGATGGGGAAACTAAGGTGCCTACAAGTTAAGAACGCATATTATAAATTATAGAAAAACTGACCTCCTGAATGTTCCCTGAACTGTTGCGTCCCGTGTTCCTCTGCCTCGGCACAGCTATTTGGAATGCACCCCCTCCTCATCTCCACAACTCAGAAGCCACCCCCCCCATCCCAAGGAATTCTTTCTCAGTCTCCCCAATTGTTGCTGCTCTCGCCGTCCTGAAATTTTCTTGCGTTAACTTTTCTATTGTATCTCCCTAGAATGTAATCTACTTGAAGTCTGAGTTTCATTTTTATTCTTGTATCCTCTGTGCCTGCACATGGATCTGTGCTGTCACTTATGTGGGTTTCCCTACTAAGGACACAGAAAGCAATCGGATCCTTGATTTCCCATTCCGTGTGATTCTTGTCCATGTCTTCCCTTAACTCCTCCGTGGAAAAACCAGCTGACAGATTGGAGGCTTTTCCTCTGAACCTCTTGACATTGAATGGACACTTATGGGGCACACAGGCCTCACACTGGCTATTCATCACTCTTGCTACCTGACTAGCCCAACTCCTTTGCCAACAAGATATTTCTGTGATCCACTGATCAATTAAGCATTTCTTAAGCACCTACAATGAACCAGACACTGCTGGGTACTAGGAACACTATGACCACATCCTCTACTCCGGTGAAATTCATTGATAAAGTGGTTCAGCCCATGCCTACCATGTAACTTTCTGTTCCATTTTGAATGACTTCCAACTTTAATTCTTCAGAAACTGAATTGTGTCATGACTTACAACCAAACAGTATCACCAGAAGTATTTTTTTTTTTTTTGTGGACCTATGATTTCATCAGAGCGGGGAACTCCCTAGATTGGGAAGTCTTCTGTAATCTGAAGTCTTACAGATTTGCCTGTCACAAAACAGGGTCACACAACTAGTATGTGTCTCCATCAAGATCCACATTCAGGGTTTCCTAACTTTGTGATTGTGAGCTACTTAAAGGCAGGGACTATCTTTTCCCGCTTTTTGTATCTGTAGTGCTTATCACAGTGTAGTACATATAGTAGGCACTTAATAAATGCTTATTGAAAAATGATCCAAGACAATTCCAAAGGACTCATGGCAGAAAATGTTATCCATATCCAGAGATGAAATTATGGAGTCTGAATGCAGATTGAAGCATACAATTTTCATTTTTTTTTGTTTTTTGTGTCTTTTCCCTTTTATTCTGTTTCTTCTTTCACAACATGACTAATGTGGAAATATGTTTACACTCTTGGTGTCTTGGGGGAAGGGGAATGAAAAGGAGGGAGAAAAAAACTGGAACTCAAAATCTTATAAAAATGAATGTTGAAAACTATCTTTACATGTAATTAGAAAAAATAAAATACTATTTATAAAAATAAAAATAAAAAAATAAATTAGACAAATGTCAAAAAAAATAATAAAAAAATAAATGCTTATTGACTGAATGACTGTCTGACTCCAATGTTGGACCCCTCTACCCACTTTCATGGCTTTTATGTCTTAATGAAATGTTTTTGCTATCGGGATTAAGAAGAATAGGATATGACTGACTAAACTTACTTTACCCCATGTGAGGTTTTTCTTGGCAGAGATACTGAAGTGGTTTACCATTTCCATCTCCAGCTTATTTGACAGATGAGGAAGGTGAGGTGAACAGGATTCATTGATTTACCCTGGGTCACACAGCAAATAAGTATCTGAGACAGGATTACTGGAAGGTAGATAAGGAAAATGTTGAAGGTAGAGCACTTAAAATTTCTCCAGCTATTCTGGAGGAAAAAATAAATGTGAATTAGATAATCATACATTTAGATGCTTTGGAACGGGTTCAGTAGCCAAACACCAAAGAGCAATTAGCAAGATGTCAATTTCAACTTTTCAGCTTTTCAGGAGGTCTGTGGTGGGCTCCCTGGATTTGTGCTCTGTCTTCTTGAACATTTTTTTTAAATCAGTGACAATGTATAAAGGCATAGATGACACATAACTATGAGAAGGAACTAACATATTAGATATGACAAAGTCAAGATCCAACATGATCTCTACAGGCTAGTACATGGGACTAAATCTAATAAAATGAAATTTCATGAAGATTGAGGTAAAGTCTTACCAGGGTTCAAAAATCATGGTCACAATTAAAGATTAGAGAAGTATAGCTATGCTATACTTTTTTACCTCAGTTTCCTCATCTATAAAATGAGGATAATAGGACCTATTTTTCAGGGTTATTGGTAAGATGAAATGAGATAATAGTTGTAAAATGGTTTGTAAAATGTGCCTGGCACATAGGAAGTGCTATATAAATGTTAGCTGCTGAGGTAGCCAAAAACTAATGTGATCTTATGTTACATGAAGAAAGACTATGCAAAAAGAAAACAAAAGAAACAAGAAGAGAATGGACATAATAGCCAAGACTAAAGAGGAGATGTTGTACAGCTGTGTCCAATTCTTCATAACCTCCATGTGAGTTTTTCTTGGCAAAAATACTGGAATGGTTTGCCATTTCCTTCTCCAGCTCACTTGACAGATGAGGAAACTGAGGTGAACAAGATTAATTGACTTACCCAGGGTCACATTGCTCATAGGTATCTGCGAGCACATTTGAATTCAGGTCTTCTTGGCTCTAGGCCTGGTGCTTTATCTACTGCACCGCCTAGCCCACCAATCTCCCATTACCTTTTTGTAAAACAATTTGAACAATCATTTCCCAGTCAATGAGTACCCACTTTGTTCCCAGTTTTTGCTACCCCCTAAAAATGCTATTAATATTTTGGTATACATGGGACTTTTTAATTTGTGTCTTTGACCTCCTTGAGGTATATGCCCAGTAGCTGAATTATTTAGTCAGAGTATAAGCAGTTTCAGTGTGGAGTAGTTGCATAACAATAACTATTCTCATTTGAAAAACATATGGTATAAAAGCAAAAGGCATCAATACAACTTTAAAACTATCTCCATTTGGACCAAGCCCCATTTTTTAGAACAGACTTGGAATTCCTACACTCAGGTCTTGTGGCTAATGTACTGAAAGCTGAGACAGAACCCACAGGTCAAATTGCAAAGCATTTAACATGGAAAGTGAAGCAACAGGGGCATTCTAATCTCCCATACCCAAACAAATATAATCTCTTTCACATTCTGACATCATTGAAGAAGGGGTTTCATGTTGTTTCCCCAGATAGAATATAAGCTTCTTGAGGGCAGGAACTGTTTCATTTCTATCTTTTGTAACTTCAGTACTTAACAAAACGTCTGGCTCATAGTACGTTCTCAATAAAAGTTTGTTGATTGATTGTCTATTTGTAGTCTGACTTGCATAAAGTTGAACATTTTCACCTGTAAGAGCCACAGCCTTTCTTTACTCCCTGGCCATCTTCTGGCCAGCTGCTCAGGCCTGCAATCATTCCCTAGTGGTTGTAACCCTTTCATCCCCCCAACTCTGACTTTGGGGCTCTGCCGTCCTGATTGGCATGGGTCTCACATGACCAACTATTTCAAGAAAGCCTCAGCCATACTTCCCATGACTTCTTACTCCCTAGCCATCTCCTTGCTACTTGTCTGGCCACTGCACAGGTATCTTTGTCTCACCTTCCACCCATCCTAGTTCAGGAACCATGATAAAATCAACTCTGCCATTATTCCTGGAAGTAGCTTATTGACTTCCCTCTCCTGGCCTCACTTACCATCCCTGTGATGTTCTAGACCAAATGCCCTTCCTGGTCATCACTCCCCTATTTATATTCTCTCCCACTAGTACAGTATAAGGGAGGCATCATGGCATAGTGAATGAAGTTGGCCTTGAACTGAAGAAGATCTGGGTTCAAGTCCTGCTACACACAAGCTATGTAGCCTTTGGGCAACTAGGTAGCATAGTAGATAGAGTGTCGGGCCTGGAGTCAGGAAGATTCATCGTCCTGAGTTCAAATCTGGCCTCAGACACTAACCATGTGATCCTGGGCAAGTCACTTCACCCTATTTGCCTCAACTCCTCTTTTATAAAATGAGATGGAGAAGGAAATGGTAAGCCACTCCAGTATCTTCACCAAGAAAACACCAAATAGGGTCAAGAACAGTCAACATAACTGGGCAAGTCACAGCCTTTCAGTGCCCTAGACAACTCTCTCAGACTATAGGTTGCAGAGAAAATACCAACCTGCATTGGTAGAGGGGGTTTCCTCACCTGGGAGTTCCCTATATCAAAGAAATCACAAGTTTATTCCTTATCACTATTAGAATATAGATTCCTTGAGGGTATTTTTGTACCCACTTTGGTATCTGTAGGCCCATCACTTAACACAATGCTTAACAAATATGTGCTTAATAAAGGCTTTTTCATTCAATCATCTGTTCATCCATTCATTCACTACTCCATCTCACTCTCTGCTTCTCACACCT